GGCCATCTTGGATTTGGAAAACAATAGCATCCATTGTTCTCCAAACAATAGCCTATTGTCTTTCTCGGCTCCTGATTGGTTACCGGTCATATGAGCGTGTATTACTACTAAACACCATTTACTTTTGGTCTATTTGACATTTCGCTTTTACTACCAAAGTTCGCCCGCAGAGTGAGTTGTTAAACTCTACAGACAAATCAACCTTTTAACCGACTCGAGGATAATAATATGTATTTTTTTCTTTTCTTTTTTTTTTTTTTTTTTTTTTGATTAGCCAGAACAAGAGCTTGAAGACGCAGCAGATATTTCATTGTCGGATAAAAATGGTATTTTTAACATCGATCCTTCCCAATTAATTTCTGCTTATATCGTAAACGTCTTAACACTCTTTTCAATTATTGATTTGGAGCGCAGCTGCTTCATTCTGAGCTCTACATCACGAAGGGACTCAGGCAGTATCACTACGTTCTCTTGTACATTATAAATGTTATGATGGTATATGAGTAAAACTCTGAATTAACTCATCAATTACTTACAAAGTCAAGTCGAAGAGCTCCTTACAAGGGGAATCTGCATCAACAAATAAATAGAAAGGCGTTGGTTAGCATTTTAAAACTTTTAGTATTAAACAAAACGACCATCGAAAAAAAAGCAGAACGAAAATTCGTTTATGCAAATCAACATTAGCACATAATTTAGGACCGTGTCCCTAAGCTTCTATTCTTGTGATCTGAATTTTTTTATTCCTTGGAGTCGTTTAAAAAGGGTAAACAATGTCTTTTAGCGTACAGGCACATACCGGGGACGCGTTCCAGTCAACTAAAATTTAAAAAAAATTCGAGATGGGGACAAATGTTACGGAAATTTACTGGGAATTTTAAATTTTCGAAAAGCGGACATATCAACCGAACATTCCGGAACTTCTGGGTGGAAAGTCAAATTGAATGGAAAATCCCTTAAGTAAATTTAATAATAATAATAATAATAATAATAATAATAATAATAATAATAATAATCTTTATACAGGAGGCTCCACTCAATTTCCGAACATTCGAATGTACCCGGGTCTAAAATACAGGTCACATTCTACTGGTCAAGAGTAAAAATCCCTTCTCTACTGATGAATAACTATGCCAAAAGTTTTCCCTCGATCCAAAACAACATTTTCGCAGAGTGCACGTGAATATTAGAGCTAGGAGACTGAATCTTGGTGCTGTTTAGTTACTGTAGCACAATGACCTGTACTCTGACCTGTGGAATGTGACCTGTAATTTAAACCCCACGTTTTTCTGACCATATGTTTACACGAGTAGGTACATGTGCAAGCTACAAGGGTAACTGTTCAATTTCGTTGTTAATAAAACAATCAGAATTGTGCAGTTGACTCTTGCGGAACAAAATTTTCGTTTGAAAATTTCTCAGTCAATCACGAAAACGTGACGATAAAGAAAAGAGTTTTCATTAGAATTCCTTTCGTATTTTCCGAGTCCATGCGTTGAATACATTTTCGGTTTCGTATCAACCACACGTATTTCAGTAACCACAGATTATAATTTTTGACAGTAGAGTGATAGCCTTTCTGTGGACATACGTTTACACGACAGTTGGAAGAATTACTGATGCCCCAAATTCACGGAAGATGTCAAGGGATTTAGACAGAAAAGGTGGAATTTAGTATTGAACATCCAATTTGCTATTTGACCAAACGGTTTCACTCTGGACCGGACGCAAGAGTCATCTACTCGCATCCGATTGGTTTATAATTAAACAATGTAATTGGATGGGCTGCATTATAGCGTGCACAAGCGCCGAACCGTAAAATTGAAAACACTCCCTGACAAAGCTTCGAACCCAGGCCCGTAGCTTCATAAGGCAGTTCAACGCATCAACCAAGGCATCCGGCATCGTAATCGCTACTAAGTTAAAATGTAATGAAACACACACAAAAAGGCTCATATCTGACTCACATTTGCAGTGTCATTCCTTTTTCTCCGTTTCTTTTCTTTTTGCTGCAGTGATTGACCTTCTACTGGGCTTGCTTTCAGTTTAAAACATTCTGAGAAAGCATCATCGAGACAGGCAATTTTTGCCGTGGAGTAGCCACTTGTAGGGCCAGGAAATTTTGCTCTGAGTTTTTCACTCAACTTTTTGAGTATTTTTGTGCATATCTCAGCTCCATTGGGCCGATCACTCTGATCTGGGTATCATTGGAAAGATCGTTTCCTCCTGCAGAGGTTGAGGATAAATGATGCCAATTTTGGGCTAATAAACGCTGCGCCGGTTTGCCATTATAATCTCCTCCATTCCTCCAGAGCCTTTTAAAATGTAAGTACAGCTCAAAGCATTGTTATCTTGTAAAGGATACAACAAGCAGTCTTTTAATGCGTAACATAAATTAGGGAAAAAATCAGAACCTCGAAGAATTTAAAACCGCTTTTCTGGCTCGCTCTTACTTTTGCTCCACGGTATTCATAATTTGAGTTTTTCTCCAGGACTTCCTCGTGCTCTTCGTAGGTAGCGTTATTCAATTCGCAATGGTGTTTTCCATTTTCACTTATTTTCATCAAATTATAACTGACACAATGGTGCTCCATGAAGCATAGCACACCACAAAATTCACGATCCATGATGTCAGCTTTGCGAATCACGTGGTTCATCAGACGTTTACCAATGATCACCTCTTTAAACTTCAAATGATGTTTACATTCCTCTGAAAGAAATATATTTAGCATGATTATAACCGATGTACGTTGCTGCATTTCTTTAACCTTCCTCATTGTCATCATGATTATCATTTTCACTAATATTACCTCTTTTTTTACTAAACAAGAAAAAATACTAGGTAAACAGTCTATACGCCGTACATGTAGCAGGTAAAATTCCACCCAGCATAAAAGCTGAGCTCTCCTAACTGAGTTGATCATCTTGCAAAATGTCGCTGTATATTTAGATATGAAAACAACTAACAAACAAACTTGGATACAACTGGCCTGGTGGAAACAAATTTCTGTTTTACAAAACGGGTTAAAATCAAACGAATCAATGACAGAAAACTGAAGAAATATTTTTCACATAAGATAAAGTCTCATATCCTCCAAGCACACACCATGTAGCGACTAGAACTTTCTTTGCTTTGGATGTCACGTTTCTTCGTGGCTCCTGGGAATTATCATGATGCAACCCACTCTGTAGTATTAAACGTTCCTCTTTATGCGTAGTTTTGTGTTTTACTTTCGCCAGTGCTTGTTGGCACTGAAAGTTCGATCTGCTGGTTTCTACCGCATTTTCCTTAGCTGCTTCACTGTTGTGAACTCTGAAGTACAAATTCTAGAATTCGAGTCGCCACAGTTTTTTGAATGAATGTAGGTCTAGTAAGCGCTACAGACGTCACAGTTTGAACGCAAAATCACATCACACACCTACGATCACTTTTGTTTCTCTCGTGTTTACGCCTAGTGCTAGTATGATTAAACTTGTGCATTCAAACTGTGATGTCTGTAGCACTTACTAGACCTACACACCATTAAGCCCAAACATCTTCATTGAAGATATTTAAATACGTGATTTGAGTGTTGATGGTTTATTCATGTAGCAGATAATGTAGAACCTTTGAGCATGGCGTAGTTTAAAAAGAACCATTAAAAAACTGAAGAAACAGAATCTCGATGCCTTCCAGTCTAGTAGAAGCGACATCATCAAAAACTTCATTTACCCTAAAATTGACAGAGTAGCACTGCTCTTAATTTCTTCGAGCTACCTAATGTTAGAATTAGAAAAATGAAAAACAAATTGGAACAAAGCAGATAAATTCATGCAATATTACAGGACAAAATTAATCTCCGGAAGGTGTTAAAATACGGAACAGTGCGATATTGATTTGGAAGTGCGTTCCAGGATTTGGCCGCCTGGAAGAATTAAGACCATAAGTAGTTGTAAATATTTTAGGTAGGTCGCTACTGTTCAACTTGGATACTGATTAAATACAATGATTCTGTTGCTTGTACTATTATGATATGCAGAGGAACTTGAAAATGTTAGAAAACGGCGTCGTTATAACGATATACATTTCACTCAACACATAAAACTGTTGTTTTCAGCTGGATCTAAAAATTAATTGTGGTGGCAAGAAATTGTCGAAGCCTGTTGAACCTCAGTGGACTTTGTTTCGGGTTTACTTTTTCCTTTGACTAAGAACAGAATTTGTTAGTCATGCGTTTCAACTAACGTATGCAACAGTTTTACTAACATACCCTACAGCGAATTATTTCCTTTGATACGTACTAGAAAAGTATTGCTTGTTATCCGTCGAGTCTGATAAG